CTGTATTGTCTGCTTGCCCTTTCTTCAAGAAAGGGCAATCCTATTTATGCTAAAGGAGTGTAGTTCTCTTATTTTCGAAGACTTTCCATAACTAACCAGGCTTGGTAACTGTAGTCAATGTAAGAGATTCCCATAGAACCATCTCCTAGGTTCCTAGCCTATAGGAAGTGAAAGGAGGTCCAAGGTCAGAGTACCCCTATAGACAAATTATGTCATAACTTAACCAATCTTGTGGGTAACTAAGGAGCGATGATGTTTAATGAATCATAGAGGGTTGTAGAAGCTTTTGGAGCTATCGTTCATGTTCCTAGGCCTCTAGTTGATAGAGATATGTCATGTGTAATATTAGCCCAGTAACTAAGGAGTGATGTCATGTAATGAATCATAGAGGGTTGTAGAGATATGCTATGTGGTCATATCGGCCCAGTAACTAAGGAGCAATGACGTGTAATGTATCATAGAGGATTGTAGCAATCGTTGAGTAGTATTGCTCTTGTTGTTGGTGTGACAAGCCAAAATATGTATAGTGACTTGTAGGTTTGAGGAGGAGATTTCTAAGTTTGCTCTTGAGTTTGATAGCAAACTGAGTGCAACGAATGTCAGTATGACAACGGAGCAGCCACCACCCAGGTCCGAGCTAGGGACCACTTCCAAAGGGAGTGTGTTGTCGCCCAGACCCTTCTTTCCATGGACACCCCAGGCATAGACATTATCCTTGGTATGGATTGGATGGCACAGGTCAACCCACAGATCGACTGGTGCGAACAGACCTGGTGCCAGCCTTTCGACATTACGAGAGCCGAGGTGACGGATATTGAGGAGTGGGAGGAAGATGATACTGCCTTCATCTTGGCCTTGAGCATGGACGACAACACGCCCACTAAATGCCCAAAGGAGTACGAGGCGTATATTGACGTTTTCTCTGAGGAAAAGGCAGAAGACCTGCCAGAACTAGGAAGGAAGACCCATGCCATCGATACTGGGACCCAAGAACTACCGTATGGGCCAGTATATAACCTATCAGAAACGGAGCTGGCCACGCTCCGCAAATACCTCGACAAGAGCGAGAAGAAGGGTTGGATCCGAAGGAGTGTAAGCCCTGCAGGCGCAGCCATTCTGTTAGTCCAGAAGAAGGACGGTAGCCTACGTCTCTGTGTAGACTACAGGGGCTTAAATAAGATCACCGTAAAGAATCGACACCCGCTGCCACTAATCACGGAGACCTTGGATCGGCTCCAAGGGGCGAGGTGCTTCACGAAGCTTGATATAAGGAATGCCTACCACTGTATCCGCATTCGTCCAGGTGGCGAGTGGAAGACAGCATTCTGTACTCGATACGGGCACTTTGAGTACAGGGTGATGCCTTTCGGATTGGCCAATGCACCCGCAACTTTTTAAGCATACATGAATGAGACCCTACAAGGGCTGGTTGACACTGTATGTGTCGTATACCTTGATGATATCCTCATCTACTCCCAAAAGGAGGAGGAACACGCTGACCATGTGCGAGAGGTCCTAGGACGCCTATGCGAGGCAAACCTATATGTGAAGCTCTCGAAATGCGAGTTCAATGCCAAGAAGGTAGGCTTCCTTGGGTACATCATCACAACGGAAGGAGTTGCTATGGAGGACGACCAGGTTGCTGCAATAGCTGGATGGCCTATACCTAGGACCCACCGAGAGGTCCAGGTATTCCTTGGCTTTGCCAACTTCTACTGGCGTTTTGTCAAGCAATACTCCTCCGTTGTGGCCCCAATGATAGGCCTTAAGAAAGGGGCCAAGGCAGGTAAACAGACAGGCCCATTCGTCTGGGGTGTGGAACAGCAAGGCACCTTCGACCAGCTGAAGGAAGCCTTCACTACAGCCCCAACGTTGGTTCATTTCGATCCTAGCCGCAGAATTACGCTTGAGACCAATTCGTCAGGGTTTGGCCTGGCTGGGAACCTCTCCCAATTAATAGAAGAGCCAGGCAAGAAGGCTGAGTGGCACCCTGTGGCCTTCTACAGCAAGAAGCTGGAACCAGCTAAGCTCAATTATGAGACCCACGACCAGAAAATTCTGGCGATCGTGAGGTCCTTCGAACAGTGGAGGCATTATTTTGAAGGGAGCCAATACCCTATCGAGGTCCTTACGGATGGATCATAATAACCTCAAGTATTTCATGGAAACCACCGCCCTCACAAGGAGGCAAGCGCAGTGGGCGCAGGCATTATCGGCCTGTGATTTCCATATGCCTACATGGTGTAACGCTGACTTCTAAACGATAGAAGACACAGAGGTTCTCTTGCGTAAAGGTTTACTTATCAGAGGAGGCAGGGGATCAGACACAAAGGCTTCAAGTAACACGTTACTAGTATATAACAAATACTGTATTGAGTTGAGCACGAAGCTCCTATCTAAGGAAATACTATCTACTTATATAGTGGCGTCGTGCCTAGTGGACTCTTGGGAACTCACTCGAGTCCTCGGAGTCCTGGACTCTTAGGACTCTTCTCATCATCCTGCGAGTCCATCACGTGCCTAGTGGACTCCTGGGAACTCACTCGAGTCCTCGGAGTCCTGGACTCTTAGGACTCTTCTCATCATCCTGCGAGTCCGTCACGTGATACTTTCGGAACTACTATTCCCCGCTGCCCCTCCAGGTACCAGGGCCGGTCTCATGCGACCTCCCTCCTTCCTGTCCTGTAGTTGGCCAGCCTTCTTGTTCCGTCGTAACACATGGCTGGAAAGACGAACCCGGCAGACGGGCCGTCAAGAAGACCAGATTATGAGGTCGAAGGGGTAGCCAGAACGTGATGCTGCCTACCCTTCAGAATACCCTCCGCAAGGCCATGAAGGCTGGAGGAACCCCGCAGGTAAGTGGGGTGACAATGAGCCCACAGGGCCCTCAAGAAGAGGATATCGACCCACAGAGTATGGGTGAAAGCGCCAGCGGCGCCAGACCGGACAGAAACCACAATACGGACACCAAGAGTTCAGGTTCTGTTGTCCCTCGGGTCATAGTGACAGCTATGGCACAGGGAGAGGGTGCCTACAGTGCTGCGACCGAACCTCTGACAGACTTGATCAAAACCCTTCAGGCGGCTGACAAGCTTGCTGTTAAGAGGGCCAAGGATGCAGGAACGGCGCGAGCAGAGGACCCTCCAGGATGGAGAGTAGACGATGCAGGCATCCTATGCTTCCAGGGAGTGGTATACGTACCTCCCAACCAGGCAGTGAGGATGGAAATCTTCAAGATTTGCCATGACGACCCACTGGCTGATTTTGGATATAAGAAAACCCAAGAGTTGATCCAGGAATGGGGGGCCCCAAAACAAGGAGTGGCCGCGGCAACCAACAACAACAACAAAGGGGGGTCACGGGACCACCTAGCTTGGTGCGCGCCTCGATAACCCTCCACCTATCCTGAGCAAACAGCCGAAACAATCACGCGAAGCATACGATCTAGCAATCGGCCTCTCCGCTCAGAATTGGGGACAATTCCCCTAAAGGGGGAGGTAATTGTAAGGAAGGCGTCACGTGCCCTCATGCGAGCCCCCTTTCGGCAGGGCCCGTAGGGCTCAGTAAACTAGGGCACAGGGCGCCTGGATAAAAGGGGGCTGGAGGCCTTGGAAGAAGGACTCCAGTGAATAGTCAGTGTATATACGTAGACCTATTGTGCTTACTGAATATGAGACCTTCCTGCCTCCTGACCTGGTTCCCTGGATTCCTGTGAGACCTTGGGCTTACGCTTTACATGGAGCCTAGAAGCAAGAACGCCTCCGGAAGAAGAGGGTAAAAGCCTGTCAAAAAGCTGGCAATCCAATTCCTCTCGAGGATCAAGATCCAATTCCAGATCTAGAGGCAGAGAGCGAAAGTGAGAGTGGGAGTGGGAGTGGGAGTGGGAGTGGGAGTGAGGGCCAGTTTGAGTGGGACGGATATGAGAATTACGAGTAGTTGATCAATTTAAGTACCTTATCATATAAATTACTATGTAGTGGTACCTACAAATTTTGGTGGTTGCGAATGCCACACGCTCCCCCAAGTCCTCGAGGTTGGAAGGCATATCGGAGGTAGGGGATAGCGAGGGAGTGCTGGAGGTGGGAGTAATGATGATGTGACTAAATTGAGCTAGATCTCGAGGAGTTTCTTCGCGGTCTGGTCTCCAAATATCAGGTAGAGTGGCTGTTCATCATGTCACAACCTGCATGGCGTGAAGGGAGGATGGGGATGGGGATGGGGATGGGGATCTACTTTTTGGACTCCGACCCTATGCAATAGGGTCGGTTCCGACGATTACAGAGTATATATTAGAGATGAGTCACGTGCTACAGTCCAATGATAGTTGTACTAGCGGTAGTATAATATAGCGTAGTATAGCGTAGTATAGCATATTATAGCGTAGTATAGCGTAGTATAGCATATTATAGCGTAGTATAGCGTAGTATAGCATATTATAGCGTAGTATAGCATAGTATAGCGTATTATAGCGTATTATAAGACACCAATCGCCTGGTTGTATTGTGGCTTTCTGGCATTTCTGGCATTCTGGCATTTCTGGCATTTCTGGCATTTCTGGCATTTCTGGCATTTCTGGCATTTCTGGCATTTCTGTGGCGCCACATGGTGTAACTCGTGCATAACAGTTATCGCTCACCGCTAACAGCACCGGAGCTAGACCGACCGGCAGAATATATCCACCTGGGGAACCTCCGTCATACATAGTCCAATCGATGGCCATTCTCCCATTCAAATGCATATAGAACAAAGATAAATAATTGATTCTGTAACCTTTATTACTAAATAAGGGAATTCAGCTTCACATATACAGCACACCAGTGTCATTTTTTGCCCATCCACATTGCCCCACAAGTATTGGGCTGGGAAAGTCCACTGAGGCGCAAAGCCTGGGCAAACTCAAAAAGATTTCGGTCTGCCCGCCCAAGCAGAAATCCCGCTAGCGACGCTCACTGCTCCCTCAAATACCAGAGGCATTCCTCTCCCAATACTCTCTTTATTCTTACAACTTCTCAGCAAACAAAAGATCTGGAAATCTTGGCGACTCACTCAGCCCGTAAGCTCTTGTCTGGGCGGTCCACTCTTTGCCAAGTTCATAGCGGTCCCGCTAAGAGCCAAGATCCTCGGTTTTCTGCGCTCCACATTGGCGCCATTCGACCTGAATGCACCCTTTACAAATACGACGCTCGCTGAGGAGGAATTTGTAGCTTAGGACTACACAAGCATACCTAAGCTTCGGGATACTGTTCGAAACGCGCGCGACAAGAAGTTCTCCAAAGGACTTGGCGAGTCCAAAGCAAGGTGCCATTCCCCGGCACAAGCCGACAAATTCGAGACATCGAAGCCTTCGGAGGCTTGACCTTGACTCAGAATGGCCTGGGAGCATCTGTCGATCAACAAGCCCCATTTGGTGTATATCATCTTAGGGGGCTTCACATCTCTGTTTATGTTATGTTCGTCTTTTATCAAAGAGAGACTATACATAGGCGAGGCGACTGTCGCCACCCTCTGCGGCATCATCTTTGGCCCGCATGCCGCCAACCTCATTGACCCCAGCACATGGGGAAATGTCGATCAAATAACCCTCGAATTCTCACGAATCGTCCTCGTGGTCCAATGTTTCGCCATCGGCGTCGAATTGCCGAAATACTACATGGAGAAGCATTGGAGGTCCGTCACCTTCCTCCTCATACCCGTTATGACCTTTGGATGGCTCATTACGAGTCTTTTCATTTGGTGGATGGTTCCTACGCTGAACTGGCTCGAGAGTTTGGTCGTGGCCTCCTGTGTCACTGCCACAGATCCCGTCCTGGCCTCTTCGGTCGTTGGTAAGGGAAAGTTTGCCAAGCGCGTACCTAAGCATTTGCGTGATCTTCTGTCCGCTGAATCTGGATGTAACGATGGCATGGCCTTCCCTTTCGTCTACCTAGGGCTTTACATCATCCATTACCAGTCCCAGCCCTCGCAAGTTGCGTTCCATTGGATCGTTATCTCGGTCCTGTACGAATGTGTTTTCGGCGCGATATACGGCTTTATCATCGGATACATTGGTAGACGAGGAATCCGATGGGCCGAGAAGCACGACTTAGTTGATAGAGAGTCCTTCCTAGTGTTTTATTTTGTCCTGGCACTCTTCTGTGCTGGATCGGGTAGCATGTTAGGCGTGGACGACCTGCTTGTTGGCTTCGCTGCCGGTGTAGGCTTCTCTAACGATGGATGGTTTACACAGAAAACAGAAGAGTCCCATGTGTCCAACGTCATTGATTTGCTTCTCAATTTGGCGTATTTTGTCTATTTTGGCACTATCATTCCTTGGGATCAGTTCAACTCTCCCGAGCTTGGAACTGCCGCGTGGAAACTGGTTATTATTGCGTTGTTTGTCGTTTTCTTCCGGCGCATACCGATTATGTTAGCACTCAAACCATTTATACCCGACATAAAAAGTTGGCGAGAAGCGCTGTTTGCGGGTCACTTTGGCCCTATTGGAGTTGGAGCTATTTTCATTGCCATTCTCGCGCGAGCAGATTTGGAGACGGGTTCTACGACGCCTTTGGCAGTGCTCCCAGCAGAGGGCACACCACATTATCATCTCATCGCCTTGATATGGCCGATCGTGACGTTCCTCGTTATCACCTCTATTATCATCCACGGATCCTCAATTGCTGTTTTCACTCTCGGAAAACACATCAATACGTTAACGCTGACGATGTCATACACGACTGCCAATGAAGAAGGACCGTCTTGGATGAATAGATTGCCCCGAATTTCATCACAGTCCAAGTCAATGTCCAAAATGTCGGATACTGATCTCGAAGATATCAAGATGGAAGATCTCCCACCGGGGGCGCTTCCACCTGTTGGTGTTCCAGGAGCTTTCCTTAGACGTCAAAAGGAAGAAGATACGGGCAAATCAAATGTTCGAAGTTCATCTATCATGCCTAGGCGAAGGAAGAAGTCCAAATGGGACGGATACGGACCAGGAGGCCCTGTCAGCCAGTCTGCTATCGCGCCACAGCCTCGCAACCAAAGCCAAAACACATCTGCAACCTTGACGCCAGAGTCTACAAGCCATGAAGGCGAAGGAGAAGGCGAGGAGAGGGGCGAAAGAGAAATTGGAAAGGTTCAGCACGATGAGGAAATGGAAGAGATTATGCACCATGGCGAGGAGGAGGAACGCCCAGAACAGCACAGGTCCCATCCCCACACATATGAAGCTTATCAAGAGGGCGATCACATTATAATCGAAAATGAAGATGGCGACGTTCTCTCGGTCGAACAATCTCCTCCGGAAGAGGGTAAGGAAGAGAAGCTCGGCGAATTCGAGGAGAAAGCAAAGGAAACCGTTGAGCATCCCGGGACTGGCTACAAGCAGTTCAGGAAGAAGATTGGCGAGTGGAGGCATCGTGATGAAGGCGAAGAGCAGAAGTCCAAGCAGAAATCCAAACGCGGCCCGGCACTGGCTTACCAGTTCGGTAACACTGTAAGTTCATGAAGCATACTCGATTAATACACATTTTACTAACTCTCTCAGATTATTGTTGAAGATGAAGATGGCGAAGTCGTCAAGAAGTATGATCTTCCGTCTCATAGAGACAATAAAAAGGGTGAAGCAGGCGCCGCGAAACCAAAAGCTCCTCGTAAGGACAAGGCAGGGGAAGAGGCAGGCGCCCAAGAGGGCGAGAGCTCCGAGGCTCAACAGACTGGACAAAGCAAACTGATCCAAGGTCTCAACAAGTGGAGTGGCTTCAATGCAATCAAGGATACCCAAATCTTCGACTCTTTCAAGGAAAACAAGGATGACTACAAGGACGACGAGCACATCCGATTTACCATCGGCAGCGCCGGCCGCCGTCTCACCAAGGAAGACTTCCTCAACGAGATCCGCTCCCTAGACCCTAAGGGTCGCGCAGCTGTGCTCGATAGGTCTGATGCACCGCCCGCAATGAAGGATCTCGCGCGCAGAGACGCAGATGCCAGCATCCCCGGCTCAAACCGCCTCTTCAGCGCAAAGAACGTGCAATCCGGCGCTTCCGCAGCCGCAGCCAAAGTTGTCGGCGCCGCGATGTCAGGCGCCCATGCTCCGAAACTCGAGGAGCTGGACGGAGCGGCAAGCAGCAGCAGCCGTAGCAGCGAGGACGCCGAGGAGCACCGCGCAGTGGCTATGAAACAAAGAGCGCTGTTCGCGCACGCACAAGATTCCGAGGACCGCGGGGCAGGCTTGCCGGGTAGGACGGGTGTCATCGCGTCAGCGGGCTCTCCTTCGGGTGAAGTCCCGGAATCAGCAGCTGAGCGAAGGCGCCGCGAGCAAGCCCTCAAGGGGGTAGATTATGACGATGTTCCCGCCCGAAAGTTCCCCGTGGCTACCCCCGCCGATAAGCGCAGAGAGTCTGCTACGATGGCGAGGAGAAATTTGGTCGCCGGAGCGACGAGGGATGATTCCGAGACACCTGCGGAGTGGAGGCGTCGTATTGCAGCGCTAGGACACAGCGAGGAGCAAGAGGGCGATGAGGATGAGGCGTACCCGACGGTGCCGACGCTGCAGAGCCAGTCGACTATGAGCGGGAGGAGTCGCGGGATCCGCTTTGCGGAGGACCCGGTGAGAGGACGCAAGTGAGTGAGTGGTTACGACGTACACATACCAACATAGATTTGAAATTTTCGGGTAAAAAACCTTGGGTTTTTTTGTTACGATTTTCTTGGGGGATCTAAGGATCTAAGGAATTCGGGCGGTTTGCTTCTTTTTTGGGCTGGGCTAGGCTTTTATTCGGGGAATTTTGGGAGAGCCCCAGAATGGATGCTGGCTTGTTAATAGATTTGTGGTTTTTTAAACGGGTTCTCATCGACGGAACTGCAGTTGCAGAGGTAATGAGTGCTTGTATGGGAATGTGGGGGTTATGACTATATGGGAGCGGCTCTTTGGTGGGTGGGGTGGGTTTTCGGGATTCTTGGAACTGGTTTGGGGGGACTACGGACTACCTCTGACAGTTGTGGCAAGATGGGCGAGAAAGAATCTCGATGGGCTGAGGGGGGGGCTAATAGTTAATGTCTTTCTACTGAATCATAAGGAACAGATACCAATTTCAAAGGATTACCTCAAATCTTCAAATGCCCCCTAACTCGTTCGTGACTTGCAGGATTTCCAATTCACCTCACAAAAAGTCGCCCATAACTCACCATCCCCCGGTCATTGAAAAAGAGTTCTATTAATGGTATCATGAGTCCGTATTCGAAAAAGCTATGCTAAAGGCACTACAAATACAATACACCTCCCCCCCAAGTTCTACAGCCGCAAACGCCGAGTCTCGGATGCTCGTATCAGCACCCTCGTTTCCCTCCCGCAGCCTACTTGTTGCGACACCTGCGCTATGCTAATAAGCCTATTTCCCTAGCAAGCACAATCATCAGCATCATGATATTTGCCACCATTTCACACTCTCTCCTTCCCAAGTTTTGCCCAATTAGTTCATACATGAATATAAACCGCCTGCATGCTACCCCAAAGCCAATCAAGGACCCGCCCATCCACCCGCAACATCGACCCACTCGGCCATGCAGCTTCCCTCCTTCCCTTCCACATCCACAATGTCCGTATCGCAGCGGCATCGGCATCCGACGCCGTTCTCCTTCGGGTCGTCCCAGCTGTCCCAGTACTCGTCTTCCTCGCGCCTCTTGCGTGGGTTCGTAGTCGTCATCTCGGGCCACGGGTCGCGCTTCAGCTGCCGTGCTGGCGCATTGGCAGGGCAGTGCTGGATAGTCGTGTGGCGGTACCCGAAGTCGCGGAAATAATGGACTTGGCTCGGGGAAAGGAGGGCGCCAGCGGCCAGGGAGTGGATAGGTGCGTCGCCCCACTGTAGAGTGTGTTAGCAGATACTCTGTTACAAAATTAGGGGTCGGGGAGATGTACCCTCTCCATCCAGAAACCGCCGCTGCGGTCCATCATCTGAAAGAAGTCCTCGTACTCCTTGCTCCTGAACCAGCTGAGGCTTGCAATCTCGAAATTCGACCAGAAATGGCACATGTTGTATTTCTCGCCTTCCATGGCTTCGGGGTCAACATCAGGTAATGATGAGCCCTTGCGGAGAATCGGTTCTGGAATTGGAGGCTTGTAGCCTAGCGAATCTTCTGGGCGTTTCTTCTTCGGTCCCTCTAGGTCAGGCTCGACGAACATCTCCCAGAGCCCCTTGGACTTGATGTTGTTAGTTCTCATATACGCAGATGCATATCGGAAGATATTGGGAACAGTCTCCTTCAATTCCTTCACGGCGATGGTAAACCCGTATGTCTTGTTATTTTCGATCATCTTTTGGAACGGGTCACTACAGTCGTTAGTTTAACCCATCAACTATGGTATAGAACGCTTACTAAGTGATATCACAGAAGTACTTGATCTCTGGCTCAAGGCGCCAGTACCACTCGTACTTTTGCAGCAATTCATGCTTGTAAAAGAATCTATTTTAATTAGTGACATTCCATTTCAAAGGGTCTACTTGTCTGGACATACCCAGAGTAGAATCTGCACATGGAATGGTAGCTCTCCATGCCACCATACATAATTGCGGCGTCGCCTTGCTTTGCAATTCCCTCCTTCGCAACCCTTGGATCTATCCAATCCGGGAAGCCCCACATGCTCGAGTCGATTTTCCCAAACTCTACTGACGAACTGGTATAGTTCTGGACGGTCTCCTTGAAAGTTGAGTTGAAGTCGCCGTCGTTGAGAAAGACGTATGGGTAATGATACCATCTGTTGAAATGACGTTCGATAGACTTGATCGATTGGATAACCCCCTCCAACTCCTTATTTCTTGCCAAAACGACGAATGCGGCATTAGCCCTTGGCTTCGTGGTATCCGGAATATCGCATCCTGTCACAAACACCTTGTCGTACTTCTCGCTAATTTTCCTGTAAATACATTAGCTATGAGCCCGAGCCATCGCAGAGATCCACAAGCCATACCTTATAGTTGGCGGTCCCCCAGCAGGCATTAATAACCCCCTCCCCAGCGACGACGGGTGCTGCACAAACAAAACCAGGATGCAAATAACGACCATGAAGGGAAATAAAAGCACGACGCCGAGAGGTACGGAAACGGCGGAATTCCCTTTTAACCGCAGGGGGCGTCTGATAACTCGCCGTACAACCTCCATAGCTGCGAAGACTGAACCTAGATGAATTGGAACCGTACAGCCTCTCTCTTTGCTTCTAAAGAGGCGGGTATAGGGACCTGAAGGATACCTATGATGGTTGCTCGGTGCGCAGATAATGTGTAAATAGCTGCAATTATGTCTGGGCAGTTTCGTATAGCGACTCCTGTTTCGGGGTCTAGAAGCGGGGAAATGATGGCTAAACTATCGTAGTGAAGGCGTTGTGAATTTGAATTCCGAATTTGGGCGTTTTCTATGGCGATCAGGCGGCGTGAGGTCTCCTGGGAGTTACTGGCTTGTTGGTCTAGGATCCGTTGAAATAGTCAGCTGTGCTCCGCAAGCGTGGTCTGAATTTGCCCGGCTTGCTGGATGGGCTCTAGATTATCAAGACGTGGGATCTCTTCGTTGATAGTGTTCACGTCCTCTGCTATTCTGTTGAAGGCAGCGGAGACACTCTCGAGGTTCGGGGGCAAATTGTTAGGATCCATGAAAAAAGGAGTGGCTGAAGGGAAACAAAAATCCCTTCGCCCTTGTGATGGCGTTTGAACGCGTCGAGAATCGGGAGAGGGAGTTGGTTCCAAGAGTGGCGCAGACTCGACGCTCTTCTTGGGAAACTATGACAAGCGACTCGCGCGTTGTTATGTCATGAGATGAGACAGATATATGTGGCCCTCAGGGTCGATTGAACGTCTTGGCTGGTGAGAACTGACGAGATCTTGGTATGGGAGAAATATATGGGGAACGAATTCTCTTAAGATGCCATTCTACTCCTGTCTATCGTTGCGCGGAATATAGTGTCGAGGATTGGTAGAACGTTCGTGAGTCCCTCCCTGTTGAGTAGGAAGGTCCAATTCGAGCCACGAACCCAGAATAGGGAAGGAGACACCACAATTTAGTTGCACACCGCCCTGTTAATTAACAATTCTGCCGTAATTTAGCCCCTCCAATACATCTAATCACGTGCACTACTCTTCACCAACAGCACGGTGTTTCTAGATTCAGCCTCGACGACCCCGCCTTGGCACTATCACAGCCAATTAACAATCCTCTGTCGACATGTCCCCCAAAATCACTTCCAAAAAGTCTCTCATACGACTCCTCTCTCCCGCCCTTCCTCCAGCGCCTCCGTGCCGACAACACTGGGGGCTCCACAGCCGTACCACGCCCCAAGCGCGCCCCAAACCCTGACGCTGACGAGGAGGATGAGCCGGTCTATGTAGACGAAGAGGGGGCAGCTCTCGATGATGATGAGCTACACAGTTTAGGTGTGACGAAAAAGGGCGCAAAGAAAGGCGAGGAAATTGCGGAGGAGGCCAAGCCAGAGGCGGTGGGAGAGCCCGAGAGCGAAAGAGGAGAAGATTGCCGCAATTGGGGCAGCGAGGAAACGAAAAGGTTGGGAAGGTTGTAGGGGCGCCAGAGCAGGAAGAAGGGAAAGTCAGTGATGCCCCCGGGAAAGATAAACAGGCGCCGCCACAGAAGAAAAAGAAGGTCAAGAAGGTGAAGCTGAGCTTTGGGGATGATGAGTGAGGACCAGATGGACTAACGTAGGTCGTGGTGTAATGGGTATAATGGCGTAATGTATAGTCGGGTTGGGGCCCCCCATAAAACCAAGCAGCTGCGTACATTTATTAAACCAGCCGACTACTAATCGTTGGTTCTCAAACCACCGCCTGGAGGCGGTTGGCGAAAGCGAACTGGGACGCGAAAGCGATTGTGGGACACTTCGGGAGCGGACTCACGACGCGACACGACCGACCATGAACATGACCGACAACGAGCACAACTACAACCACAACTATGCCGGTAGTTGAAGTAAATAAAAATGAAGCTCTTTTAAATGCCATTGAATTTTTAAATGAAAACCCAACAGAGAAGAGTGCTACAGTAGCACGGATGTACAGAGTAAACCCAAGTACGCTCCGGACTATACGACTACGACAACGACGCGCATCACCACAACGCACCGCTGTGCCACGCGGAGGCCAGAACAGAGTACTGTCTGATGTACAAGTTACAGCTATACAAAGATACATCCAACGCTCGTACGAAAATGGGTACGGTGCAACTAAGCCTATGGTGTTCAGTGCCATCTGCCAACTACGTGCAGCAGAAACTCCAACACGTGCACCACCATCACAACGGTGGTTCCAGACATGGATTAAGACACAACAACACAACTTCCATACAATAAAAACCCGGCCAATTGAAGCAGCACGGGTTGCATCTCATGAAGTATCAGCTATTAAAGAATGGTTTTATGAATTTAAAGATGTGTGTAATCAACTAGATATTACTGCAGGTGATATCTACAACTTTGATGAAGTTGGATTCCGTGTAGGAATGAGCACCGGTGAACATGTGTTGGTACCATCTGCAGTAAAGGAGGTAAGTTGTTTCTACTTATCTTACTTTATATTATTCTAATATTTATAGCTTTATATACAAGCTCCAGAGAACAGACAAAGTCTTACAGTTATAGAGACAATTTCAGCTGCTGGCATTGCACTTCCACCGTTCCTTATTATACAAGGAAAATTACACATGGAAAGTTGGTACCATGACAATCTACACGGTGATGAGAAAGTTGCAGTATCCGATTCCGGATATACAAACTCTGAGCTTGCAATGGAATATCTACAGCATTTTATTCAACATACACCGTCTATAAGAACGAAATTGTTAATAATGGACTCTCATGTCTCACATGAAGTTCCAGAGTTTATAATACTTGCACATCAACACAATATACACTTACATGTGTTTCCGTCTCATCTTACGCATATTCTACAACCGCTAGATGTTACTGTGTTTGCACAATATAAACATTGGCACCGACGTGCAATTCAACAAGCAATCCAGAATTTTGATACAGATTATAATGTTATATCTTTCTTTAGAGACTTGTCTACTATCCGTAAGCAGACATTTACAAAGGGTAACTGTATCAAGTCTTTTAGAGATGCAGGTATTTGGCCACCTAACTATGAAAAGATTCAAGAGAAGGTTGCTATATATGCAAAACCAGAAGTTTTAGAAACACCACAACGCGCATTTCAAGCAAGTTATGATCTTTCAACATGGAGTCAAACATTTGATAAGATCCTTAGTTCACCGTCACGGCAAAAGTGGGCATCTTCTTATACTGAAATCCAAACTCAGTTAACAGAGGCTGAGCTGTTCCAGTCAGAGCTTGTACAAATTACTACTATTATGACTGAGCAACGACAGCGGAAGGTTAGAAGTCGGAAATCTATTCAAAAAGGCGGTGCTATTACAGTTGAACATGCACGGCAAAGGATTTATGAGAAGAAGGTAAAGGAGCAACTTTTAGAAGAAGCACGGGAGAAAAGAGAGAGAACACGCATGGTGAACGTTGAGCGTAAGATGCAGCTCCGTGCTGGCATCGATGCACGGAAGGCAGAACGTACACGGAAAAAGGACCTACATGAATTTCAAAAAAGTAACCCAGACACGGAGCCACCAATTGGCTTACGTACAGAAATCATTGACCCGGACGTTACACAGAAGAAACGTGAGGAGGAGGAGGAGGCGGACCGACTGTTAGCCATCGAGGAGAGTGGGTACGTGAACTTTGCAGGCTTGGACTACGACATGATTCACGATGCAAGTGACGGTGGCTGTGATGATCAATCACTGCCTGACAATATTGATCCAAATCTTTTTTAATTATTTAATTCTATAACTTATATATATTTACACATTGTTACGTTGTCAGTCGTGTTCATGGTCGGTCGTGTCGCGTCGCGAGTCCGCTCCCGAAGTGTCCCACAATCGCTTTCGCGTCCCAGTTCGCTTTCGCCAACCGCCTCCAGGCGGTGGTTTGAGAACCAACGATTACCACCTCTACTACTCTAGAATGACCCGGAAAAGGAGTATAAAGGCTCTAGAACGCGAAATCGAAATCCAGAAAGCAGTAGTAGCTATTAAATGAAATTAGTATATATCAATTTACGCAGCTGCAAATGAGCTAGGGCTACCATATGAGTCGCACTGACGTCGCGTAAATGGGGGCATACACGAGCAAGTGCGTCAACAACAACAGCACCTGTCAACAAATCAAGAACAAATCCTTTTAAAGTGGATTAAGCAGCTTACAAGCAGTGGCTATGCTCCTAGCCACCGGATTTTAAGAGAGGTAGTGTCATACTGACATTCGTTGCACTCAGTTTGCTATCAAACTCAAGAGCAAACTTAGAAATCTCCTCCTCAAACCTACAAGTCACCATACATATCTTGGCTTATCACACCAACAACAGAAGCAATACTACTCAACGATTGCTGCAAACTCTTCTACTACATCTGTTTATGCTACATACATCACGGCATATCATTTGAACACTCATTGAACAAGTTATTAAGAAAATCTCCTCCTTAAGGGGGTGGGCCAATACTACCACATGGCATATCTCTACCAACTAGAGGCCTAGGAACATGAACGATAGCTCTAGAAGCTTCTACAACCCTCTATGATTCATTACACGTCATCGCTCCTTAGTTACCCACAAGATTGGTTAAGTTATGACATAATTTGTCTATAGGGTACTCTGACCTTGGACCTCCTTTTCACTTCCTATAGGCTAGGAACCCAAGAGATGGTTCTATGGGATTCTCTTACGTTCACTACATGATTAGCAAGCTAGTTGTGGGTCGCACTTGATTTCTAATACATTTACCAAGCCTGGTTAGTCATGGAAAGTCATGGAAAATGAGAGAACTACACTCCTTTGGCATAAATAGGATTGCCCTTTCCTTAAGAAAGGGCAAGCAGGCAATACAGTAAATCGACTAGCACATACTTCTACGTCTTTTCCAAGCTTCCAAGCATTGATCTTGTTATTCTCTGTTTTTGAAAAGTCAGTGAGGTGCTAACCTCTGACTTACCCCTGAGTTCTCAGACTCAACATTTGTTGCAACTTGTCTAAACCACTTCACCACATCATACACCTGATTGCTGCGTTGTGGAATAGTCTAAGCTACAACCCTTTGGCTCTGTTTCCTAAGACAGTGTGTTGTCTTAGTAAATTCATCCCTTCCTTGGGTGGCTAGATTCTCATATCTGGTGCACCCACCATTACACCTTGCCTGCTTCAAGCTTCAACTATTTCTATAGCAGCACTTCGATACTACAATGGAGGATGACCAAGCTCCTACAACTACTGCTGAACAGCAGATGCAACAACTGTTTGCCTTTATACAAACTATAGCAAACAAACTTGAGAATTTGGAAAACACCTTTCAAGCCAACACTTCAGCAACACAATCTTCAACTCAGACACATCATACAGAGCTTCCCACAGCTCCTCTGGCTATTTCAAGTACCCCAGGTGCACTTCCTAAAGTGCAAACACCAGATTTATACCATGGAGACAGGAGGAAGTTGAAGGGATTTCTTATGCAACTGGACATCTACTTCACCCTCAGGCCTCATCAGTTCACCTCAGACATTCAGAAGATCTATTTCGCTGCCAGCTACCTCCGTGGATCTGCATTCAACTTCTTTGAGCCATATCTTAGAAGACTTAGTGGCAACAACCAAAATACCACTACACCTTTGATTACCTCTTATGACCAGTTTCAAGAGGAACTTACCAGGACCTTTGGAGACATCAACGAAACTGCTACAGCAGAAAGAGAGCTACAGAAGCTATGTCAAAAGACCTCTGCTGCTCAGTATACAACAGAATTTAGGAGAATCACTTCTCACTTGACTTGGAATGAAGAAGCCTTAGTCTTCACTTACTACCAAGGGCTCAAGAGCTCTATTAAGGATGAACTCAGCAAAGAAGAACGCCCTACAACACTTCAAACGCTTATAGAGAAAGCTGTCAGACTTGATGATAGGCTTTTTGAAAGAAGAAAGGAGAAGAACCAAGACTGGCATCCAACAAGAAATTTCAACAATTACACCTCTACACCAACTGCTAAGGACTCAGCACCTGAACCTATGGACTTAGACGCCTCTATAAAGAGATCTACAGCAAATCCAGCACCTCAGCCTACAGGATACCCTCAAAAACTGAAAAGGGGTAAACTTACCCCTCAAGAAAGAAAACACAGAATGGACAACAACCTTTGTTTATACTGTGGCAAAGGGGGACACAGAATTCAGGAGTGCTATTCAGCACGGGGGAGTGCTGATTCAAAACATATAGCAGCCTCAGACACAGTCACAACTGCTATTCCTGAAAAACTTGAAAAATCCCTAGCAGGCACAACTTCAACTGAGACTATAACTTCTCCCCTAGACAACAAAGATGTGTCGATGGTGCTTTCTCAGAGTCTCACACACCTGTTAATCCCTATTCAACTCCATTTCAAACAACAGGTGTTGTCTACAAGGGCTATGATAGACTCAGGGGCAACAGGCAACTTTATATCTCAAGACCTCATCTTGACACACCAGTTACCTACAATTCCCAAACGCACTCCAGAGTTGCTCCGAGTCATTGATGGAACTCCTATCAGTTCAGGTTCCATTACCTGCAACACCCCAGTACTCAAACTTG